AGACCGTTTGCGACCAGCGAACTCCAGAAATAATGAGCTGACGTTTATCCCGTCGGAACAGGGAGTGTGCGGGAGGGGAAGGAGGGGGGTGAAGCAGCCGTACCTCCTTCCCAGGGAATCACAGGTTGCTCTCTAATTAGCCAAACGTGTAAAAGCTAAATATTGACATCGTGTTGCGGTTCCCCGTGTCTTGCCATCACATTGCATGTTATTAACCTACATAGCGCCGGGGAAAGGAGCATCTGTGTGTGCCTTGGCACAGGCAGGGCTGAAGAGGCAGGAATTCCCCTGTGCAATGCTGCTGGTGGGACCTGAGGGAGCTGGGAATGGCTTCCTCTCTGCAGCTGGAGCTGGGGTGTGGCAGGAGCTCGTTGGGCTGCCCTACAGCATAAATAGCCCACCCTTCCCATCCACACTTTGCTTTAGGGAGGTGTTGGGTTCAGCTGGGAGGGGCTCGCTGCAGGTCAATGGCTCCATTTGGGAGGGAATGGACAGGTACCCTTCTAACTGTGCTGGTGGATTTAGGGGGTGTGGTGAGTTTATGGCCCTGAGCTGGGATTTGTGCTGTAGGTTTGTGTGTGAGCAGGGGCTGGTGCAGGGCCGGTGCCTATGGGAGATGCTTTGCTCTCTACAAACTGCCTCCTGTGAGCCTCCAAGTGCTTTGCCAGCCTTTGCCAGAGCTGTTATTTGTGGAACATCCCAGCTGCTTGGCTGAATGCAGTCATCAGCCTCTCTGAGGGACTGTAGAGGGAGTGTCCCCCTGAGAGATGGGGTAACAGAGGGGGCAGGGGTGATGGAGCAGGGCTGCCCTGCCTGTGCCACTGCCAGTCTCCTGCTGAGCCCTCACATGTGCCTCCATGCAGCACGGCTTACTGCAGAGAGAAGAGGTTTCTGTCTCCTTTTCTCTCTTTCTGCATGGGGACGAGGACTGCTGGCATGCAGGGATCTTCATCAGCTACAGGGTGCTTTTAGTGCCTCATTTTTTTTGCCTCCCTTTTGGCTCCCTGGCTCAGGGAAGTCCTGCCAGCATCTGACAGGCTTCCTGGGTGTGCAACCGTGTGTGGCTGCAGCAGAGAGCAGCCTGCTGAGGATTCCTGGTGGGATGAAGGGGGGATGGAGCCAAATGGCTCAGCACAGCTCTGCTGCCTCTTGGCTGTTGCAGGTCACGCAGAGCTGTCCTGTGCCAGACTGAAGGGCTTTGTCACAAGCAGCTTGTGAGGTTTGGCAGCACTTTAGGCAGGAGAGAAATCACAGTGGACTGCTCTGACATCCCTCAGCCATGGTCCCATCCCCTGTCAGACCCCCCTGCTCTGGGGCTCCCCACCTCACAGAGGGCTGGGTGCACTGCGTGTCTGGGGCGGTGCCAGAGCCAGGCAGAGGGGACAGCCTCCAGCCTGGCTCAAAGGCTTCCTGGTGGCAGACACAGCCTCCCTCCACTGTGCAATCCCAGGACATGGCTCCCCCTTCCCCGCTTGGCAGGAGCTAGTGTTGTGTGTTGCCCATCACTGAGGAGGGTGGGAGGGCACTGGGAATGGTTAGTAGTGCATCCTGGCCAAATAAGCCAAGGAAAAAGGCATCCCTGTGTCTTCAGAAAGAAAATGCTGGAGGGCATCAGCTGGCACGAGACAGCTCTGGCCCTGACCACCCTCTCCCTGCCACTGGAGGGTGTCTTGGTCCAGGTGAGGAGCTGAGTTTACATGAATCATCCCTCAGAAGAAAGCACAGAGTGAATTCATACATCTGTTGACCTTCAGCAGTGTGAGGATGGTTTATTTTTCTGCAGCAGTGTATATTTATTTATTTTATGGGAAGCAGAATGGTATTGACTCTTTTTCCCACCTGGAATACTGCTGCTCCTCAGCAGGAATGATGAGAGCTGTGCATAGCTGACCACCAGAGAGCTCTGCCCTGACCATGGGCAGAGCCACTGCTGAGTGGATTCACTCAGCCCAGGGAATTTTCCCCTCTGGAACTGATGTGATTGCTGCATCCTGCTGGGACTTCAGCTTTCCACTCCTGGGCTAGGCTAGCTAAATAACCCTCCCTTTTCAAAGGTTGTCAAAGCTGTAGTAATTCTTATTAGGCTGGTTTAAATCATCTCTTGAAAAGGTCTCACATCACTCTTGTTCACCAAACTGTTCTGTATTCAGACCCCAACCACCCAGTCTCCTGAGCCAGAGCATAACATATGCAGGGAGAGGCTCCAAGAAAATATTAAAGATGTTCTGCTGTGCTCTGGGTAAGACCTGACTTCTCCCTCCTCTGCCCTGTCTACATTTCAGAGTGGAACAAAGGACACTGTGGAACGAGGCTGCCCCTGTGATCCCAGTGAGGATCATTAGCTGAACCCTTACACAGCATCTCTGTTCTCTGTTCTCTCTGTTACACAGCATCTCTCTGTTCTCTGCCGATGGATCCCTGGTGAGACACTCTGGATTCCACCCCCTGGGATGGTGGGGAGTGCTGGATGTTCCCCTTGGGAATTGTCCAAGAGTGACTGGCCCCAAACCCCCTGTTTTGGGGGAAGATGGAATAAGCCAGACCTGCCATATGCCAAAGGAGCTGTCGGCTCCCTGCCCTGTGGTGGTGCTGCTGCTGTGATGTGCCACCATGGATGTTTCTAACTCAAAGCTGGGGCCTTGAGCACAGCCTTTGACCTCATTCCCAGCACCAGACCTGGTGGGCTTGTCCCAGGAGGGGGTCTCACAGCAGCGAGTCCTGAGCTGTGGTAAGCCCCCAGGTAGAGAAGGGGAACCTCTCCATCTCCAGGCTGCTCTAGCCTGGGGAGATCAGGTAGTGTGGGAAGAACCAGCATGGAAACACCTCTCTGGCACAGGACTTCCTGCTTTTCCTGCTGTCTTGCTGACACTACATAGGACACAGAGGGAAATTCCCTTCCTCCCCAGAAACCTGAATCCAGAGGGTTCAGCCAATGCACACTGCCAGGAGCTTAGCACAAGCAGTGATTCTGACCTGTGAGTTTTGGTGCAGTGCCCAGCTCCTCCCAGGCAGGTGCTGTTGCATGGGTACATACAGGTGAGTCTAAGCCAGTGTTGGGTACAGCTGGAAATGCTGTGCACAGCAGGGGTAGGTGTGCCTGGGGAGAGCAGGGCAGAGGATTTGTTGATGCAGCTGCAAGTGGAGGTGCAGTTGGTGCATTGCCTCAGGGGTTTCTGACTTCTCTAAAACAGAAAGCAGCAGGACTGAGACAGACTAGATGTCCCCAGAGCATCCTCTGAACTCAAAGCCACCTACTCCTGCCTTCCTGGGCCACCAGCTGGGTGACAGGGGTGACATAGGCAAGGCTGACTCTGTCTCAGGAAGAGGGACCCCTGCAGGCCATCACATGGAGATCTGGAGGCCCAGGTAGCAGTTTTTGGGAGGATGAGCCCCTCCTGCCTTGCCCTTGTCTCTGCAGAGGAGCTGCTGCCCCGGGCACAGCATCCCTCGGGCCAGCTGGGAGGCACCCCATGCCTGGAGCTCTGTGCTTAATCAAACCAATTAGCAATTTAATCTTGTTAACAAACCAAGATAATTGCAGCATTATCAAATTAGCCAGCTGCATGGAAATGCCTGCTTAATAGCTGATAATAGCTGGTCCTGATGGGGGAGGAGGGCTGTGATCTGTGACTAATGACCGCGGGAGGTGTAATCAGGCTGCTCCGCCGCGGCTGCCAGCCCCATCCTGCGTGTGGGGATGGCTGGGGGAACGCTGGGGTTCTGCCCCTCTCACCCCACGGCTTGTGTGGCACAGCACTCCCCACACAGAGGGCTGGGCTGGTGTCAGGAGTAGTTTTCCCCTGGAAGGACACTGCACTGGAAAAAAGCAATGTCTGAATTTACACTGAATTTCATAGAATCATAGAATCAGCTGGGTTGGAAGGGACCTTCGAGATCATCAAGTCCAACCCTTGATCCACTACCGCTGCGGTTACTATTATTTGGCTGATGAGCTCCCAGCTCTTGTTCTGCCTGTCCCTGTTGGATCACTTGGCGTTTCCAGCCTTCCTAACACTGCAGGAGGTCTCCAGTTATCTCTGCCCTCCTGTGGCCAGGCTAAGCAGAGAGGTGTTTTTTCACCATAGGACTTTTTCCTTCTCAATCACTGAATAATTTCTGAGTCTTTGTCTCCCTCCCATTCCTCCATGGGGGGGGACCATAGAAGGACTCACTCCAGCAGATGCTCTTCCCAGTTTTGGCCAGGGAGCTTCCAGTGTCTGCCTTGGGCCATGCTAGGGGTCAGTCCCACAGCCAGAGGCTCCATCCTGCTGTGTTTGGGTAGTTTAAATATATGGCCAGTTGCTGCTGCTCTCCAGATTGGCTGGCTCGTGCCTGGCAGGCAGTGGGGATCATTATCCGAGCCCTTACACAGCACCAGCTCCTCTCTGTTCTCTCCAGTGTGTGCAGACAGACCAGGATCATCTCCCAGTCTGGGCTGGGTCTGCTTCTTGAGAATGGGACATGCAAGCCTGGCATCAGCCATGGGCTGGGGAGGGCTGGCAGGCACTGTCTGGGCACCAGCACAGGGTGGGTGATGCTCTGCCCCTGCAGCACATGGTGTAAGTGCCTGGCTCTGCTGTTACACTGGGCAGAGGCCGGCGGGTCCCTCAGGCTGCACATGCTCGCTCTTGATGATATTTCTTGGCATTTCCTGAATTTTTGTCCCTGGCACTCAGCTGTACAAAAATTACAAGAATCCCTTGGAGCCGTGATTTTATTGTCCTGGCTTGAGGCTTTCCCAGGCAAGTTTCCTCAGCTGAGTTTTCCCCACCAGCTCAGGTCCAGTGAGGGGTTCAGCACCACTTGGGTCTGTGTGCCCCTGGATGGATTTTCTCCTTGAAGCCAGCCCCTAACCACACTGCAGGTGTGTAGCCAGAATGTTTTCATTCTCTTCCACAGGCAGAAATTCTGGGGTGAAACCAGCAGTGGGGCTGTGTGCCAGGATGGGCCCAGAGAGGGGCAGGAGGAGGTGGGGAAAGGAATCACACACCACAAGCACCCCTGAGACAAGCCTCTTTTATTTGCTAAAACGGCAGTGGAGAAGCAGAGGGAGAGGGCAAGCAGGTGGCACATGGCACTGCACAGGAGCTGTCATGGAGTGATCTTGGGGCCGAGGTGGTCTGAGCATGGGCTGGGGCCAGAGGTGGCATGGGGATGCTGAGATGGCCCTCGGTCTGTCCTGGGAGCCGAGCTCACACTGGTGAACGGGAGGGTAAGAAGGTTGGGTCTGGTGTTCAGAGTAACCTCAGCCCACATGTTTGCCCACCAGCCACCCCCCATCCTGACAGTGGAGGGCTCTGGCAGGGGGACACAGCTCCCTGCCCACCGTCATCACACCCCCTTTGCTGCCCGGGAGGTGGGCACAGGCGGGGGGGCTCCCGAGCTCCTACCGTGTATGGGGCCGCTCCTGGGCTTCCGGATGCATTTCCTCCCGCAGGAGGTGGGGCAGCATTTCCTGAACAGGGGGCAGTCCCAGTTGCTGTTGCACCGGTTCGGGGGGTTGTGCAGCGCGCAGACGACGCGGACGGGTGGGCAGGACCAGGCGCTGCCTGCAAGAGGAGGGACTTGTTTGCTCCAGGGCAGCTGCGGGACCCCGGGGAGATGCTGCCCAGCAAACACCCTTCTACTCTCCTCTCCCTTCCCCTCCCCTCCCACAGGATCCTTGTAAACATGACTCCTTCCCAACTCCTGAGCTTTTCCTCCCTGTACCTTACCCTGGGATGTCCCGTACCTGTTGGCAGTTCTGCCCAGAGGATGAGCATCCCCACCAGGACGAGGGCGGCCACCGACTTCATGCTGCCGTGTCCCTGGGAGGTGTGAGTGTGAGAGCTGTGGCACACAGACATTTAAACCCTTCGGGAGGATGGGGGTGGGGAACAGGATGTTTGTACCTTTTTTCCTCTGTCTATTGCGTTGTGTCTTCTGGAAGCCTTTTGCACAAGACACAGAGGGTATTGTTCAATTGCTCAAAAAAACGTTATTCCATTGCACAGCTGTCCCCTGCAACCACACCTGGGGTGAGGGTCAAGCCAAGGGAAGATGGTCCAAGGCATCGTTCCCCCGGCAGGCTGGAGGCAGTAAAGCTGCTTTCTTCTGGGCAAGTACCCTTCTGCAGGTATCCTTCAGGAGAAACCATTGTGGTGACCGTGCCATGTTCCCCTCTGGGGCTCTATGAAGTGGGTTTCCCCTCTCTACTTTGCTTGCATGTGGATCTGCAAACCAAACCTTACAGCACAATCCGGATCAGCATGAGGCTGCCTGTGCCTTCCCAGGAATGATCCTTCAAGTTTTTCCCAGAGGTAACTTGCCCCAGCCCCAAACCCTCCTGACTCCTGCCCCACTGCAGGTATAAGCTAATATGGGGAAAACAGCTTTGGCTTAGCCAAGAGTGAGTCTTTCTCAACCTCTTTGGGGGTCACCTGAACCCCAGTATCTTCTCTGGGTGGCTGCTGCCTTGTAGGAATCAGGTTGATGCTGGAAGAAAGTGGCTGGCTTCGCTGGGGTAGGATAATCCACTCCTCACAGCCCTGTCATCAGCCATCATGGAACACAAGGACAGCTCATCTAAGCCCTAACTCTTGATGGCTGTAGGGAATGGGGACTGTATTCCTTGTCTGAATGGCAGAGGTCCCACCAGCATTCAGCCCTCCATCTCTTCCTCCCTTCCAAGGAATGCTACACCCTGCTTCTCCGGCCTCCAGGCAAATCCGTTTTCTTTAACTGCCCTTGGGCAATGGGAAGTTGCTCCATTTCCCACCGGTGGGTCAACGGCCCCCTCACCTTGTGTAAGGGGTTCCTGGAGCCTTTCTGTGGGACTTCTCAGGCTGTCAGGAAACCAAGCTGTGCTGGAAGCAGGCTTTGGGAATGTCCCTGTGGAGCCAAACACTCCACATTCCCACAAAGAGCAGGCTGGGGCAACCCCTGATTTTGTAACCAGGAAGGGTGAGGAGCAGCAAAAGCCCAATATCACCCCTAGATGGTCTGTGCAGCCCCTGAGCCCCCCACCATTGCACTGACCCAGCCTCTGGAGCCACCGCCTTCCAGCCAGGGCACAGTGGGCATCTTACTGCACTGCTTCCTTTTCAACCTTCCATCCTCAAGTCTTAATGGGCCACATTAACTTACTGGATATCTGTTAATTATTGTCCGATTTCCCTGTTAACTCTGTGGCTGCATTTAGCTCTTTGTAAAGTCATTTATTAAATAACCAACAGAGGATATAGCCAACCCAAATAGACTTTCTGGGCTGTGCACCAACAATTTAGCACTTTTAATGAGAAATACAAGCATTGGATTAATTTTTAAGCAATCCTTTGGCACTCAGCTGCTGTTGGGGCTGGAGAGGACAATGCTGTGCTCCCATCTGGTGCCAGGCTCTGGCTGAGGTGGGGCTTGGACCTATGCCTCCAAGGGAGGAGAAAAAACTAAGGAACAAGGCTTGGATTAAGCTGCAGAGAAGATGGAGGGGAAGAAATCCATCTGAAGCATATTCAATAGTGCTTTATTTATAGAGGGGGAATAGTCTGAACTCCTTCTGTTGTAAACTCCCACAGAATAACCAGGACCCAGGCATTTCTGGGCACAGGACTGCCTGCAGGCCCCGTGCAGCACCCATGGCCCCAGGGTCCCTCAGAGCAGTCCCTGTTCCATATGGCTCATGCTCTTCTACATGAAAACCACTCTCTGAGCCTCCTCCCGAGGCAGCAAGACCTGAGCTGTCAGATGCCGAGAATGCTGTGGCAGATGCTGCATTTTCCCAGCCAGAGCAAGGCTCTCCAGTTTGTATTCCCTGGGGATGGAAGGGATGAGACCAGTAGCCCTGGGTCCCCCAGCCTTAGAAAGGTGCACTAAGTGCCCAAGGAACAGCTTGTGCCCTGCAAAGCAGCCCTTGTCCCCCACCAGGGGATGAAGTGCTTTCAGCCTGATGATGACTTCCATCCATCAATCCCCCCCTCCATCCAACCATACATTCCCCAGCTCATGGCTGAGGATGCTCTGCTCCCCTCCGGGCCGCCTCCAGCACCTCAGGGTGCCCGGGAGAAGGGGGTGCCCACAGCCCAGAGCACCCTCGTGAGCGCTGGTGTCTGGTGCCACCTAGTGAAGAGACATTAATGAGGCAGGACCAGGTCCCAGATGGGATCCCACGGAACAGAGCCCGGCGGGATTTGCATCTCCTAATACCAAGAGTGTACAAAGAAAATTAAAGCAGAGTGTGACCTCTGCAAGTAGGGCTCCATCTCTTCCTCCACATCCTCTTCCAGATCTATCTCCATCGTTTCCTCACTATCCAATACACTATCAGTTTCCATCTCTTCTTCCATGTCTCGGCAGCCCATGTCAGGGGGCACAGTCTCAGAATGGGGTCCCTGTCCCACACCATTCCCACAGAGCTCCAGCCCACCTCCATGGGGGGTGCCCACCTCCATGGAACAGCACTGTACCTTCATCAGGACAAGAGGGAGCATCCTGCTGGGATGGATGACAAGATCCACACAGCAGCTACTGTTCAGGACTGATGGGTATTGGAGGGAGCAGGTGAGGACAGCCTGCTGGGAGCAGGATGAAGGGTGGCCTCTGAGTAGGGTGAAGGGTGGTCAGGGCAGAGGGTGCACTGGGAGCTCCAGAAAGGTGCAATGGTAGCAGGGCTGCTTTGTGCTCATCGCTGGGTGCTGGCCATTCCACATGGAACACGGACACTACTCCGGGACCTGTCACAGGAGTTGTGGGGCCGCTCCGCAGTGGGGGATGGGAATCATGGAATGATGGAATCCTTGAATGGTTTGTCTTGGAAGGGACCCTGAAGATCATCTCATTCTAACCTGAACAACCTTCCACCACACCAGGTTGCTCAGGGCTCTGTCCAACCGACCCTTCAATGTTCCCAGGGACGGAGCCTCTCAGGCACTGCCTGTGCCAGTCCCCTCCACCCTCACTGGAAGAAAACATCTTCCTTAGGTCGAACCTAAATCGACCTCCTTCAGTGCAAAGCCACCCCCCCTTGGTGGCCCTGCTGAACACTCTGTCCCAGATTTCCTCTGGGTCCCTTCAGCTCCTGCCCAACCACACTGAGGCCCCCCTGGGACCTTCTCTTCTCCCAGCTCAGCAACCCCAACTCTCTCAGCCTTTCCTCAGGGCACAGGGGCTCCAGCCCTCAGAGCACCTTTGAGGCCTCCTCTGGACTCTCTCCAGCAGGTCCATGTCCTTCCTGTGCTGAGGACTCAGTGCTGGGGGCTGGGATGAGCCCTGGAGGGGCTGCAGCTTCATGGAGAACCGTGGGGAATGTTGTGTTATCCCTCCAGAGGAAGGAAACACTTTTGTGCTTAGATAAAGGAATGAAGATGGTGCTGGTTCTTTGTAGAGTGTGCAGGGACGTGTCAGGAGCAGGTCCCGTCTGTCCCTTGTCCCAGCACACACCCCAGAATGGCTCCATGGGGTGCCTGGGCCAGGCCATGGGTCCATCCCCCAGTTCACCTTGGAGATCCCTGTGTTCCAACAAGCACAGGCTCCAAAGCAAACCCCGGCAATGGGGACACAGCATCCATGTCATGCTGGCTCCCTCCAGCTGAGGCTGGGCCTGGGTTGTCCACAGAGCAAAGATTTCCCCAAAGGACTTGTGGAGCCCGAGCACAGGGGAACTTCCAAAAGCCAGAGGCCCCTGTCCTGATGCAGAGATACCTCTGGGACTCTGAAGCCCTGCTGAAAGGAGAGGCACGTGACATACAAATCTTCAGGGGGTTTATTGTCAGGATAGAAATTCCTTTATAGAAAAGATGAGTTTCAAAATAGCACTACTCTGCTCTCAAAATTAAATATACATAGATATATACACACACATACATATTGATAGAATAATTACCATTTTGCTATGTGATTATAAAACCAAACAAGATAATACCGATTCCCAAATAATTCTGCCAAACTAGGGCCAAGGGATCTGACAATTCCTGCCACCCGCTTTCCCATGGGAGCCCACCTTGGCACCATGGCAGGAGCTGGACAGGCATTCCTGGCCCTGCCTGTGCCACCCAGCTCTTCTTGCCCCGCCACTTGGCAGCAGATGCTGAGACAAGAGAAACTCTCAGGGTGACACCACTGTAGGATTTTTCTCTTGCAAAGTAGCTTGCCAGGCTCCAGAGGGGCTGTGCAGGGCTGGGTCATCCTAGTTGCTCTGTGGAAAGGCCAGGTGTCACATCTGTCCAAAGACCTGTCTGGCCACATGGTCATCTCCCCTCATCCCACACCTTCCAGCTGGGAGAAACGAGGCAACAGCGATGGGTGAAACCCCTTGGCTTCACAGCAGAGGTTTTGATCAAGTTCCTTTTTGGTGTTCTTAGGATTTTTTTTTAAATACAATCCACATCCCCCCAGGGATTTTGAGATATAAGAACGAACACTGATGCTTTACCATAACCTAGCAGTAATAATGTCATGTAGCTACTGTACATCCCTGTGCCCCATCTGAGTGCTGCAGCCCTCTGCCAGGATCACTTCTTGTTGGCAATCTGCTTTTCCAAGTCTTCAAGTCTGGCTGTCATCTGAGCAAGTGAGCATGCTAAGGAAACAGCGTGAGCTGGACGGTGTGGGGGGCAAAGAGCTTTTTCCCTTTGAAGAAGCCTAAAATTCTTCTCACTCCCCTTAACTTTCCCTCCCTTCCCCGTGTGAGCTCTGTTTCCAGCTGCCCTACACCCAAGCAAGCCCAGGTTTCACCATAAAGGATATTTTTCTCCGTCAGGCTCTGCAGGATGGCCACGGTGTTTGTCTGGAACTGCACCAGCGCCTCGCACTCACACGGGCTGCGGATCTCTGTCTCCCCTTTGCCTTCCTCTGGGATGTGGGGGTTTGGCTGCAGTCAGAGCCACAGCCCCACACTGCCCCCACGGCCCTCCCTTGTTTCTGTACAACTCCCTTGTCCCTACAGCCACCCACCAGGACTGGATCTGAGCCTCATGGCTCTTCCCACTGTTTTGCCCTTTTTTTTCAGCCTCTCTCTTTTTGCCAGGCTGCATCCCTGCTAGCCCAGCAAGTCCTTTCCTAGGCATCCCATCTGGCATCTCGCAGAGCTGTCACACACGTGGTCACAGTGTGCCAGGGACAGCCAGCACTGAGCTTTACTTTGCCTTCAGGCTGGGGTGGCAGGTGGCATCTTGACTCCACATCTGCAGCCCCAGCCTTTCCCACGGCAGGAGGACCTTCACAGAAACCCACTGTGGTCCTTGTGCACCCAGCAGCAGAAGCACAGGTCTGGACAAGGCCACCTTTGGAGCTGGGGCAGGGTGCCATCCCAACTTCTGCCCATGCAACAGCATGGGGGTGGCTGCTCACATTAACACTTTTGTATTAACCCCCCCATTTTTTAATTAATCCCCCTAGCTCCACCTTTTCTTCTCCCAAAACCCTCTCTGAGACCCACCTCTATACTCACAAGAGCCTGGTGAGATCCAGAGACAACCTAGGCTCACACCAGCCCAGCTCAGCCTTGGGGTATTTGACATGGAGTGACAGACACACAAACCACCCCAACTGGCTCTCTGGGCACAGGAGGGCCCCCCCTGGCTTGGGACCGAGTCTCCTGGTGTGTCCAGGAGCACCCACCTGGGCAGATGTTCAGTGAGAAGTTCTCCACAAGGTGGGTCATGGTGGTGAAGTCCGCTGAGTAGGAGAAGTGCTGCTCCACCGGCTCGGAGGCGATCGCTCTCAGCTCCTCTTCCACGGCCTTTCCGACGCCCACAGCAAACATGACGATCCCTGTGTGGCAAGGATGGATCCTGAGCACTGCGCTGGCCACCCCACAGCAAGCAGCCCCGAGCCCAGATGGGGCAAAGCCGAGGATGCAGGATTTTCTCTGGGCTTCCCAAACACACAGCAGGAATTCAGGAAGGATGGGCAGGAGCAAGGCAGCACTGTGGTGGTGCAGGCTGCTGCATGAAGGACGCTGCTCAGAGCACCCTGCAACCACAGCAGAGCACGTCTGCCCCTGCCAACCCAGGGGATGCAGCCCCCCTAGGCTGGATGCTGCAGCCTCTCCCCCAGACAGCCACCCTGAGGAACCATCCCAGGATGCCCAAAGCACGGTGACCTGGGGTTCCCCAGACCCCCACACCTGACTCCTTTGCTCTCCTGGCCCATTCGGAGATGTCGTCCTGGGAGCGTCCATCTGTGAAGACGAGCCCAATTCTTGGGATGTTGTGGGAGAGAGGCCTGGCACCTTCCAACTCAGAGAAGCTGTGCTCCACCATGTGCTTGAGGGCAAGGCCTGTCATGGTGCCTTTCTCCATGTACTCCACATCCATCACCGCCTTCTTGATCTCATCCGCGCTGTGGTACTTGTTGAGGGGGAACTCGGTGCGGACACGGCTGGAGTACTGCACCAGTCCCACCCGTGTGCCGTGGGGGGAAATGTCCAGCAGGTCCACGATGCGGTTCACAAACTGCTTCACCAGCTCAAAGTTTTGGGGACGGACACTCTTGGAGCCATCGATCACCATCACCAGGTCGACATGCCCAGCTCCACACTCTGCAAGCACGGGGGGAGATGAGAGGGGACCAGCCTGGCCATGGGCATTGACAGAGTGAAGGTGCCCAGGGCTGGGGCAGAGCTTCTGGGCTTCAGGACACTGTGGGGAGCCCCTGGAACTGCAGCTGGGAAGTGAGGCAAAGCATGCACAGAGGATTCAGCCCCAAAACCTCCACTGACACCCCAACACCCTGTGAAAGTCTTTCCTAGGTCTCTCTTTCCCTGAACCTTTCCTCAAAGTTGTGCATCTTCTGGGCCATGTCTCTGAGGAGACAAGCATCCATCCCTGCAGCACCAGGGTGCTCCCCCAGGCACAGCTAGCTCTCCATCCTCTTCCAAACTAGCTCAAAGTCCCACTTAGAGTCCCCCAGCCCAGTTTCAGATGAGCCCTCCCCAGGAGAGCCCAGACAAGGAGAATGCCAAGAGCCATGTCCCAGTACTCACTGCTGCATGTCTTCCCATCAGCCTGGAGCTGCTGGCCCTCAGGGCACATGCAGTGGTAGGAGCCCTCCGTGCTCACACACTTGAACTCGCAGCCGTGATCCACCCCGTTGCAGAGGTCAGTGGCTGGAAGACAAGCCAAGGGCAGGGGGTTATCCCCATTCAGGTGGAGTGGTCTAGGAACAGCCCTTCCCCTGGGGACAGGGCAGGACATAAAGGCATCTACCATATGCACAACCTGTGCCGTGTGCCACGTTGGGACCTACCCCTGCAGGACCTGCCGTCGGGCTGCAGCGTGTACCCGCTGCGGCAGCGGCAGTAGTGCCCACTGGGAATGCTCACACACTCGTGCTGGCAGCTGTGGTTCCCGAAGCTGCAGTAATCGATCACTGGTGAGAGAAGGAGAAGTGAGGGCAGAAAGGGAAAGACCAGAGGAGAGGGAGAACGAGGAGCAAAGGAAGAAGGGACAGGGAGGGAGACCATCACTTACTAATGCAGCTCCTCTTGTTCTGGCCGAGGTAGTAACCTGGCCGGCAGCGGCACGAGTACGATCCCCGAGTGCTGACACAGTGGTGCTGACAGCCATGTCTCCCGTCTGCACAGGCATCAATGGCTGCAGGGGAACAGGACACCCATCACCTTCCTGTCCTGGCCTCCCTGGGACCGCTCCAGGACTTCAAAGCAGCTCCCAGCACCGTGAGACAAGAAGAAAAAGTCCTGGTGTGGTGACCAGGCCGACTAACATGGCTTTGAAGTAAAATACAGGGAAAAAACAGTGCGCTCTTCAGTGCTGGGAGGTGCATCCTCTGATACACACTGCCCAGACCCCCTCAGATGACAGGCCATATGAGCCCCAAGTGTTCCATCCCAGAGGTGTGGCCGGGATTTGGCAACACTGAATGTCTGCGGTCATTACAGACCCGGGAAGCAGAGGGCCCAGTGAAGAGAGCACCCAGGCTGCTGCTGGCCTTGCTGGGTCCTCTGCTGTGTCCCAGCTTCCCTCCATGGGACCCATAACTACAGGCTCCCTATGAGAGTTTGGATAATAAAAAGAGTTTTTACGGGAACAGGTCTTTCCATCCACGTTGAGCCTGTAGCCGGGGTTGCACTCGCAGTAGAAGGAGCCAGGGGTGCTGACACAGCTGTGCTGGCAGCCGTGCTCCTGCTCCACACACATGTCCACTCCTGCAAGACAGAACGGGCATCAGGGTGGCCCACGGGCACACCGGACACCCAGCTTTGGAATATGCCCTGTCCGTGCAGCAGAAGCCACTGGGACGACCCACACAGCCCCAGCCCTGCCAGCCCCAGTGCTCAGCCGCTGATTTCCAGTGTACAGACATGGACACTGAGCAGTGCCCCGTCCCAGTATCTCACTGGGGAGGTTGCTTCCCCATCCACACCGCTCCCAGCATGGGCAGCCACCCCAAACACCCCTCTGAAGGACATCTTCTATCCCTGGTGAGGAGCAGACACCAGGGCCACCCTTGCAACTCCACAGCAGCATCCCTCGCTCACCACAAAGCTTGTCCTGGAACTGCTTCCCAAACTGCTGGATGAGCTCAAAGGACTCCACCAGGAAGACGTGCTCCTCCAGGGGCGGCGAGGCCATGGCCCGCAGCGAGTTCATGTCTGCCCGCTGGATGCCCACGGCGTAGATCTCAATGCCAGCATTCCGGGCCTGGGTGGCCACCTCGGTGACACGGTCCTGGGGCCGCCCGTCCGTCACGATGATGGCGATGCGGGGGATCTTCTTGTGCGGAGGGCGCGCGCCCTCCTGCGCGGTGAAGGCCACGTTCATGACGTACTGGATGGCCAGCCCCGTCATGGTGCCCTGGGCCAGCGGGATGATGCTGTTGATGGCCCTCTCCATCTCTGCCCGCGTGAAGAAGGTCTTGAGGGAGAAGATGTTCTGCACCTGGCTGGAGTACTGGATCACCCCCACCCGCGTGGCGTTGGGGCCCACGTCCAGGTTGCCGATGATGTCGATCATGAAGCGCCGCATGGTCTCAAACTCGAAGGGGCGCACGCTGCGGGAGCTGTCGATCACAAACACGATGTCCAGGGGGCCCGTCCTGCACTTCAGGGCTGGAGGGGGGCAAAGAAACGGTTCAGCCTCGTGGCTGTCTGCGGGGAGCAGGTCTGGGAGCAGAGCCATCCTTTCTGGGTGGCTGGAGGGGTGCTCAGTCGGGGATGGAGAGAGCGGGTCTGGGTAGCCCTCACAAACCAGCACCTTCCCACCGCCCAGTAAAGTCATGGAAGATGCTGGTAGTGTGGGAGCAGGGTCAACAGGCTGGGGAGACATGCCTGACTGTGGGTTGTTGTGGTTGTGTTTTTTTTCAGGGCAGAAAATGAGACAGAGTAGAGCAAAGCTAAGGGCATGCACAGTGTGGAGATCAAGCCAAAGAGCCTCTCTTGGACACAAGGATGATACTTCCAGTGAAAATTGGGAGATTGTTCAGCAAGTGAAATGCCAATGAATATGTTTTGCTTGGCTTGTGTGCACCCAAGCCTGGGAGAATTTGGCCCTAATGGTAAGCAAACAGTTTGAGTCCCCTTGGGATGATGCCCAGACCTAGGCTGTCATCTCAACTGCTCTGAAGGTCTCTGAGACATACCCACTCCTTTCTCTATTTGGATCCTTCACTGGTTTTAAACTGAGATTGATTTAGATCCCTTTGCCCTGAAAGGAGAGGGACTGCTATCCCTGGGTTTGCTTTGTCCCCCCCCCCTGGAAACTCATGCAAGGAGGGGGTTCCCCCTCATGCCTGCGTGTCCTGCCAAGGTCACAGCCCATGGGGAGGAGGGTCACAAGCCCTGAGCTGGGCTGTGTCAAAGCTGGGGATATGCCCAGAGCAAGTGGCACCAGACCCACCATTCTGGGGCCAGGCTGAGGCTCCCACCCCCCATGGCAGCACTGGCAAGTTTGGGCCTCACATCTGGGGGGATCTCCATCCTCCTGGGGATGCCTCCAAAGAAGAGGCATCATGTCCCCCCACCTCACACAGCAAGCTGTCATCCGAGGGCTCCACTGCCCTGATGCTCTCAGTTCTTTCTCCTCCCCACCATCTGGGGCTCACCTGCAGGTTTTGGTCTGGCTTCCAGTGTCGTCAGGAGAAGCAGGAGGAGAGGGGTAACAGGCAGGAGCTTCATCATGGCTCTGCAAGTCCACACAGTTCCAGGGCTGGAAGGATGTGCTGCAGGGAGAAGACAATGTGGAATCAGTGCAGTTGGTGGGCTGGGCCACAGAGTGGCATCCACCTTCAGTGGGTGTCCCCAGGCAGTGCCAAAAACCCTAAGCAGCAGTTTTGACAGATCCATCCCCAAACTTCTCTGAAACCACGTGAGATCTTTCGCATTCAAGGACTGGCAGTCTCAGCACAGCTCAGTTTCATTACAGCAGCACTGCTCTGCCAAAGGGTCTGATTTTCTGCTCTGGGTGGAGCTGGCCATTGGACAAGCCTTATTTTCACTTGCAAACCAGGCAGATGGAATGTTCATCCAAATGCTTTTTCCCCGACTGTGTGGCTGCTCTCCACAGCCATTGGAGAGTGGGAAAGCTGCACCCAGGGATGCAGAGCACCAGCCCTCCTGACACTCCCACACGGGAATAGAAGCCCCCAGATGAAACACCAGCACAGATAAAACCTGCTCAGAAGTCTCTCAAAGTCACTGGCAAACATCATTTTTCCACAAAAATCCATAAATTTATTCTCTGCCTGTTTCCAAACTCCCTTTGGAGAGCAGAAGCCTCTGCAGGCAGAGGGTGTAAGGGTGCCTGCGCAGGTGGGCTTGCACCCGTTCCTGAGGGAAGGTGCTGGGTGAAGCACTGCTGCTCTCCCTCACATCACCTCAGGGTGCCCACCACCCTGTCACCAGTGCTCTGCAGCTCTCCCTGTCCTGCTGTCTTTTCAAGGGATGCTCTGCATCATGACAGTTTTTTTCATGCCTTTAAGGTGGGATCATTGGAGGAAAAGATATTTAAACTGGTTACCCGAAACCTCAGCTTGTCACTTCTCTCCCTCCCTGCTCCACCTCTGTGTTGCCTTGCCTTGCCTTTCCCTCCCTCACCTGGCACCTGCAGGGACATGGATTTATTTTGTTTATTTTTATTCCAGCTCCGGTTGGAAACCCAAGGTGCTGAGGATGGAAATGCCACAGATAATGCAACTTTCCCCAGGAGACATGCAGTGCCAGGGCTGGGCACAGATACTGGAAGGCTGCTTTAAAAAAAAAAAAAAAAAAAAAAAAAAAGCACAGAAATTCATTTTATCGGTAGTTATCAGCCGATATTTATTTAGCCCCAGGAGGTCTCAGTTGTAATTCATCACCAGGGCTGCTGTTTAATTGCTCAGTGGTTACGTGCAGCCCTGAACAGCATGTCTTTGACAGCAGGGACACTGATAATAGGTTTCACAGCTGCATCTTAAAACTGTCTCCAGACTCAGTGTTCACACCTGGAAAACTGTATTGAAGAATGAGAAGGACAGAAAAGGGCTACAAGAAGAGACTGGATCCAGAATATCAGTCTCAAAGGGCCTTTCCCTGGAGGTGAGCAGACCACCAGCCCAGGATCCAGTGACCCTGCAGTGGTATCAGGAGCTCCTGCAGAACCACGCAGGAAGGGCCAGTGGGACCGCTCTGGGATGAGGGGATGGGTGGGGGTGGGCAGCCTGGCAGGTGTTTTCTAGGAAGCCATGGGGCTGAGGTGAGCATTGCTTTGTGGCCTGCAGTGCTCAGGTGCCTTTGATCCCTCACGAGAGCACCACGAGCAAGCAGAGAGGCAAACAGTCCCTGCTATCCCAGCTTCATTTCCCTATTTATTTAGCAGATTCTTTTTCCAAGTCTTCTTTCCTGGGAGAAAGCACTCACTAACCACGAAATATATTTGGGACAGCCACGCCACCTCTAACATTTTTCAGCTCTCTGCTGTCCACACCTCCCTGCTGTGGCAGGCTGCTGTGGAGCCTGTGTCTCACAGCACCCACACAGCTTCAGAGCCAGCCCAGAGAGAGGAATGAGCTGTTGGGCCAGGAACCAAGAAGGAGAAAACCAGTTCACGACTGATCTATTTTTAACAACATCTCAGCTTTGGATGAAGTCTTGGCGCTCCCCACGGGTGGAAGGGCTGATGCTGCCTGGACAGGGCAGGGCATGGCAGCTCAGCCATACATCCAGCGCCGTCCTGGCAGCAGAGGTGAGGCTGGGACAGTGTCCTGGGTTGATTCAATATAACACCCAGCCCTGTCTCGGCAGCAGCAAGGCTGATGAGGACCAGGAAGCAAAGGTGATGGGACAGATGCCCCCCAGTATCTCTCCCACCATCCCACACTGGGCAACATCCCTGCTCACTCCCCTGGGGCTGGCAGCACTGAGGCTGACTTGCATCCCCATGGAGGGGCTCCCCACACCCTGAGGGCACCCACATCACCCCCTCCAAGCCCCCTGCTACCATGCAGGAGTGGGAGGGAGATGGGTGGGAAGCGACCGGCTGGCAGGCAGGTGCTGTGAGGGAAGGCAAACACGGGGCCGGCTGCAACAGCAGAGACCTTGAGATAACGCTGAGCTATAAAGGAAAAAAACGTCCAGGCAGGGACAGTGCTGCTGGCTGGGCTGGCTCAGCCAAACTCGGTAGTAGCTGAGCCGAGAGGGACACCTGGACCATCTCCTGACCTTTCTGACACATGGGGAAAGCCAGTCATTGCTTTTCGCTGCTGAAGGAGATGCTCAGGACATGGTGCGAAGAGAGTGACCAAGGGAAGAGCCACATGTAAGGAAAGAAGGTTAACAATGACCCCAGTCTCCTCTTGACCCTCCTCACGATCTCGACCAAGGAGGACATGGAGATGGATCCCCAGAGACAAACAGGTAAGCCAGCACGCCTTCTCTGGGCACCTCCCCTGGGCACCTCCACTGGCAGTGCTGCTCCCCAGGGCACTTGCATCCCTCCCTGCTCCACCACTTGTCCGTCTGCTCTCCCTGCCAAGTGCTGAGTCTCGGGAAAAACAGACGCTTCGGGTTTCAGCGTGGCCTCCTTGGCAGCTCTCTCCTGGCTACAGGTTAAGAGAAATGCTCTGAATATTCCCCTTCTGGTTCATACAGATGGTCACAGGTTGGACCTGGGTGCACCCTCCCTTTGGGCAAGCCCAAAGGACAGGGCACAGCAGGGAGCAGGGTGAGGAATGCTGCTGGCTCCCTACCCTGCTTCCTATTATAGGGGAGGGGATGAAGCAGATGGAGAAAGGAGGGGTGAAAGGCTCAGGAGATGGCAGTGCTCTCACAGGAAAGCCCTGACCATACTGTCACGAGGAGGAAAGCAGGTTGTGGACCATGGCTATGGAGTTATGAGCCAGCTCTCAGGTACAACCACATGCAAGGTTTCAAACATCTGACATCTGGGCACATCAACCTCCTGCTGAGATTTATGTTTATGGCAAAAAACACAGGACTCCAGACACCTGCCTGGGCTTGGCAGTCCTTTGGCACATTGTGGGAGCAGCAGCATCTCTGCCCTGGCTCCAGACCCTGCAAGAAGCCAGGGCAAGGGATCCCCATGTGTTGCAAGGAGTGGGGAACAGCCTGGAGGCTCCCATCCAGCACACTTTACCCAGCACAAGCCAAGCTGGAGGGCTGTTTGATAGCACATATTTCTGTGCTGGAAGCCTTGGCCAGCGGTAGAGCAGCCCTAGACATGACGTTGCCAAGACTCACCCTCCTTACCTGCCTCTCCACACACCCTGCTTAGTTCTGCAGGGCTTTTCTTTGCAAAGATCCAACCAGGCAGTTTTGGGAAGTTGTAATTCTACTCCCACATCAGTGTTATTTGATGAAAGTATTAAAAAAACCCCCAAACCAAAAATGCTCAGGATCCCTACACCTGAGTCCCTGTGCTTAGGACACCAGTCCTGCCAGGACAACAGCAGAAAGACAGAGAGAGCATCCTCAGTCTGGAGGATGAGGAGATAAATTGTCACATCCTCAGCAGGACAGCAATTCATCATCTTCAGGTCCACTCCTGAGAGAAAGGCTGCCCCCAAAGTACACATGGGACCAAAAGAGGAAGACTGAAGCATGTCTTGCCCCAGGCACAGGGGATAATGAAGCAAACAGAGCTACTTGGAGAGGTGTAGACAACTTACATCAGCCTGGAGGCACCTGCTGTTTAAACCTTGATGGACTGCTGGCACATAGTCCATATATTTGCAAGACCTTCAAGCAGTGTGAACGGATGAGGCCTGAGACAGCCCAGGAACTGGATCCACCCTTTGCTGGAGGGTTGCCCAAAGGTTGGTTTCTCCCAGTCTGCAGATGCCCAGCTCTCAGTGGTGGCTCTGCTGCCCATGAGCATTGAATCCACCCTCAGGACCATTTTACAGGCAGCATCAGCCTTACACTTCATCAGAGCTCCAGAATCTCAGTGCTCATCCCCCACAGCAGCTGGGTGATGAGTGGCAAATCCCACCAGGAAGGACAGAAGTGCAGTTTTCAGAGCAAGGAAGATTCAGGGAGCACAAGCAGTTGAGATCAGAAAATAGCATGAATTTCCAGCCCCAAAGGGGGTTTTTTTCCCCTTTTTGAGGACTGATGTGTCCTTGGTTCTTCCCAAACACACATGTGGGAGAACCAGAGCAGACTCTTTCCAGGACATCGCAGTATTCTCCAGTTACAACACTGTGGCAGCTTTACTGGGCCAAGTGCCACCTGGAAGGACATATTATTTGAAAAACAAGGCTGTATTTCTTGAACAGCACATCAAGGCTGCAAACCCAACAGGAGCAATCAGCAGGAGTGCTGTAACAGGAAAACCTTGCTGGATGCAGATGGGAATTCTCTTTAACTCCCCTTGCTCCCCACAAAACCACTCCCCATTTTATGGGACCCACTCCTGAATATTCACAGAGAGGGCAGGAGGAAGACGAGTTTCTTGTCCAGATCCATTTGCTGGCTGAGTAACAGACATCTTTGACTCACAGCTCACAGACTCATACAGGTCCTGACAAGTTTATACTGTGAGATGACATTTGAAGTCCCCTTGGGAGGGAAGTGCTGGGTGTAGCATGGACAGAGCATCCCCTTCTCTTCTAGACGTTCTCCACAAGAGCACAGAGGGTGTTCCTCTGCCATCAATCTGTTGCTAAAAGACCTCCCAGTGCTCTGCAACTCAGCTGGCAGGAAAGCCTCTTGCCCAGACAGCTCTGCACTGACACAGGCTGTACCTGTACCTTCAGCAACAGCTGCCATGAATAAACACCACATTCACTCGCAAATTAAAATGTTAAAGATCTAGCCAAGAGGAAAACGTGGTTAGCCAAATCCCCTTGTTCAACTAATCATGTCAGAGATGGCTTCTGTTTCGGGACTGCTGGTGATGTTTCTCTGTTCCTTCCTGTCCCACTCGAGACCTTTAGGCTGCACTTGACCCCTGAGCTGCACAACAGGCAAATTCAGCCCTGCTCCTAACTGGTATTTTATGCAAAACTGAAGAGATCTTGGAATACTTTGATTTTGATGAAGAGTGATCAACGGGGGACATACGCACCTCACTGACTCTCTTTACAAAGAAAATGCTCTTCTGCAAACAGGCCCTTGGAGGACAGCTGTGCTGGGCCAAGAGACTTCAAACTTTGGAGGGAAGGATGTCTGGGCCATCCAGAAGCTGAGGCAGCAATCCACTGCCCAAGTTCTTGTTCTGTGAGGAAGGTGTTAGAAAGCATTTTTTTTCCCCCAGAAATATGCATGATCAACCGCAAAGGAAAGAGAAATGGCCCAAACCAGCTCTGGGCTGGTGCAGTTTGTCAGCTGAGCTCCTGATGCAGCAGAGCTGGTATCTCTAAGCAAGGAGATTCATTGTTACTAGCAGGACATCTGTCTCCCGAATCTGCTGCGACCACTATCCCCAGCTGACCTCCAGCAAGTTTACATGGCACAGGCAACCACAGACACTGCCTGCTACTGCAGCCCCGTAATCAGAGAGTCATTGCCCGACCTCCTTCTCTAAATCTTTATATCATATTTCTCACTCTGGAGAGGTGACTCAATGTGTTGGCATAAGAAAACACGCCAGGAGAATATTCTTGTGCCTCTCCCCTTTACCCTGCCCATCCTGCTATGTGTTTAATTGAAATAGCAGAAAGCAAGGAGCGTTTGGTGGCTGTGGAAAGGCACGCGGAGACTTTTTGTCCCTGGCTGAATTTTTTGTGCAGATACTCTTCACAGGGAGACCTCAAAGGTAGCATAGGAAACGTCTCTCACCTAACCTCATGGCTTCCATGTTCCTCTGACAGCAGGAGGACTGCTGTCCCAGGACTGGGATGCTGTCACCCCACAGGTGTGACCAGAGAACAGCTCCCACCAGCATCACAGCAGGCTGTGGCCTCACTCCTGCCCATGCTGAAGAGCAGGTAACACTTTGGGGAAGCCATCTGAGTCCAGCTGCAAGTGTAGGAGCTTTGAATACCCACAGGCAGGGTTTCTCCATTTCTCAGTTTCTGGACCCCGCCTAATTTTCCAGCCCAGACACAGACTCTTGTACAGTGGGTTACCTCTGCTGTCAATAGATCTGCTCCCACTGGTTCCTGACATAGACCATGGACTCCTATGGGTCCACAGACTACAGTCAAAGACTCCTGAATTGGCAATCAACCAGCACAACACAGCCCAGAAAAAGGAAAGCTGAAATCTGGAGAGAAGACAAGTTACTGCCTCCTCTCTGCAAGGGACAGCAGCTGAGCCCTATGCATTTCCCTGGTGGGCACCAGAAGGACAAGGCTAGGGGTCGATTCATGTGCACAACCAATTGCTTGGAAAGGAAGAGGATCTGAAGCTTGCAGATAAAGAGGAAGAGGCAATGGCAGAAAGTGGCTAGGGAAGATGGATCCAGCCTCCAGTAAAAACCACCAGGAAGGACAAGCTGTGTGAGAACCAGAAAAGCTTCAGGTACAGGATCAGGCACGGCAGTCCGGAGCATCCCATATGGAAACATTGTCATCGCTGTGCACCAGCCTCTGGAGTCTCCCAAGCACACACCTATACCCTCTCCTTTAACAGAGCTGGTTTGAAACCCTTTATTTTTATTCAAGATGGAAGGGGACTGAAGCCTTCTAAGAGCTAGAACTGTTACTTGACACCTAAAGGTACATCTGTGCCCGAGTACCCCCAGATGGGCGACGTCTGGCACAGCAGGTAACAGAGCACCGAGTCGAGGTCCCTGTGCCCAGCTGATCAATGGAGCCCTTATGGCAGCTGTGTGAGCTCCCAGCGGAGCCTGAGTGCTCAATTTGCTACTGTCTGGGCCCAAAGTGGAGAAAACACGATTACTGACAAGTGGTAGGAGCCTCTCAGCCTCCTGGCACGGCTGGAGGAGACACGTGTGACATCTGGCACGAGAGGGACCGACTGGTGCTGGGGGAGCAGCTGACTTTTATAAGTTTCTTTATGAGCACCACTCCATCTTATTTTTTTGACATATTTTTCCTAGGTTCCATTCATTCACTCACTGTAGGGCTACTCTGTAATTCCCATGTGTATGTAGATACAAACTCTACTTATCTCCCCTCCGTGTTTCAGCCCTATTCATCAGGCATTTGTAAATGGCATTTTATGAGTGCTGAGTTTTTAACAAGGCAGGCACGCTGCTCCAGAGCGAACAAAGGGGCCCCTATTGGAAACTTTAAAGATGTTTAAACAAAGAGTTCTCTTGAAAACCTTTAACCCCTAATGCCAACCTCAAGGGAAATGCTATGTTATGAGCAATCGGAGCACAAACATCTTCTGTGACCACAGATTGCTTACAACGGGCTGCCTTGTTGGCCACAGCTTCTCATTTTTCTACCATGGCCAACCAGAGCAGCTCCCGAGCCCATCTTGTGCTGAGCACATACAGCTTCTTTAATTCTTCAACGACAAATGAAAGTTACAACTTCCACAGAAATCAACAACAGCTTTTTCCAGTTGGATGCAGCAGTACCCTCCCTGCTTTGATGGAAAGTGTTGTTTTACTGCAAACACCAAGATCTCTCACACTCTTTCCAGACGGCAATTTGCATTTTGGATGAGGCCAAATTTATCTATATCCTGGTGGCAAATATCAGGGCTGAGATCTCAGAATAGCTTCCCCTACACACACCTTTTTTGCTGATATCAAATGCCAATCTAATGAATTCCTGCGGAATTCACAAGAATCTGCTTGTGAAATGCAGTTTCTACTTGTTACTGAGAACCTGCACGCTCACTTCCTGGGATTAATTGCTCCTGTTCTTGGAAAAGAAAAAAAAAAAATCAACTATCAAGAAATGCTACAGAGGGTCCCACAGGGAGGGTCCTACAGGGAGGGACCCAGAGGGAGGGGTCCCACAGGGAGAACTTCACAGTAACTTTATTAATAATACGAGTTTAAGTGGAGCAAAAATCCTGTAGGTTCAAGCAGAAGAGGTGAAGTCCTCTCAGAGTTGGGGCTTGGCCCCTCTCTTAGACCTCTCTTCCCCCCAGTCCCATTGCACACATGAAGTGGCTTCCATTGATGGGGGACAGTCCCATTTCCCTGCCAGCCTCCTCAACCACACAGGTTCCCACTCTTCAGTCTGACTCCTGGATGGATTCAGCAGCTTTGAACACCACAGCAAAGGCTGTCCCTGCAGAATGAGGGGCAAAACCCCAGCAGAGCAAATACCACCACCTCATGTATCTGCTCAGCTCTGCTTATCTCAGACGGCTGCGTGTTCGCACAAACACGATGAGTGCGGATTAATCTGATTTTCCAAACAAGTTTTCCCATGTAATTGCTTGGAACAGAAGTGCCCAAAGCTAATTTTATCCTGTGAAACTGTTGGAATGATAAGCCGAAGGTGGGTGATTGCTTGTGCAAACACATTTCCAAGTATGCACAGACCCAATTTTCCAGTCGTGCAGAAACGGTGCTTAACAAACTTAGGGCACACTTTTGAGCTTATCTTTCTGCAGGATCTCTATCTCCTATTGCTCAGTACGCCTTGCCCAGGTGTACCTGACCTTATTATTCTCTGCTAAAAGAGATCCTCGGTTGTGTAAGCAGGAACCTGCCCGACAGCTAGGCAAAAGGTGAGCAGGGCAGGCAGGCTGAGCCATCCCGGCGGCGGGGAAGAGTTCACATCCCAGCACAGCACCGACGGACCGAGCGGGTACCATGCCCTGACTGCCCCACGGCCATACCCCAGCCCAGGGCACCGCTGCGGGGGCCAAGCCCGCACAGTCGAGTGTCGGGAGGGCTCCAACTCACAGAATGTGGGGGAAAACCCTCTGGGGCAAAAGCTCTGCTCTTCTCCTCCCGGCTTTGCTTTCTGCTCCTGACGCCCAGGATTGCCGCCCCCCTTCCTGTCCAAGGGAAAAGCCCCACTCCAAGGAAAAGCTCCCCGGAGGCTGCCGACCTTTGCGGTAGCGCTCGGCGCCGCTCACAGCCCCACCGAGCCGGGATGGGGATCGGGATAGGGATCGGGACCTGGACCGGGACAGGGATAGGGATCGGGACCTGGACCGGGAGAAGGATCGGGATCGGGACCTGGACTGGGACCGGGATGGGGGTCGGGACCGGGCTCACCCGCACCCTCCTCACCCTCCTCCTCTCCTCTCCCTCCCGCAGGGGCGGCGGTGCCCGCGGAGCCCCCGACTCACCCGTGCCGGCCGCGGAGCCGCTCCCCGCCGCGCTGCTGGCTCAGGTAGGGCGGTGCGGGCGGTGCGGGGCGCGGAGCTGCGCGGTGCGGGGCGCGGCGGCGCCGGGCATTTAACGGGGCGGGGGAGCGGGGGGGGCGATGGGGCGGGCACGGCCCGGCCCCGGGGCAGCGCCGGGAGCGGGGGGGGTGGTGGGTTCCATCCGCCTGCCCCGGTTTGGGGGGGCCCGGGGGTCCCACCTGCCCCCGCCCCGCGCGTTGTGCCCGTGCGGATCCCGCGGGAGCTGCGCGCAGGTGGAACCGGCACCGCGGGGTGCGCGGCCCGGGACGGCCCGGAGCTCACCGGCGGGGAGGGGCCTGCCGCTTTTAGTCTTTTTTTCTTTTTTTTTTTTTTTTTTTTTCCTTTTTCTCCCTTTATTTTTCTTTTATTTTTCTCCTTTATTTCTCTTTATATAATTTTTTCCTTTCTGCCCCTTTTTTCCGGTTTTCTTTTTTTTTTCCTGCTTTTTTCCTTTATTTTATTCTCTTTTTCTTTGTCTTTTGCTTTTTTCCTCTCTATTTATTCTATTTCCCTTTTCTTCCTTTTGATTTTTTCTTTATATTTTTTCCTTTTCCCTTTATTTTATATTTTCTTTTTCTCTTTATTTTATTTTTTCCTCTTTATTTTATATTTTCCTTTTTTTTTTCCTTTCTTTTTCTTAATTTCATTGTTTCTTTTTTATTCTCGTTCTTTTTCTTTTTTCTTTTTTTTTTTTTTTTTAATTTCCTCTTCTCCTGCTGCGGGAATACACCTGGGAGCCCCCTAAACTCAAAAGCTTCTGGAAACAGGAGAGTCCAAGCTTAATATCCATTTGACCTACAGTGTCCTGGAAGTTTAGGAACCTCTGCAGGCAGTGGCTGCAGTGTGGGGAGGTGGGTTTGAACCAGTGAGCTGCAGGCCAGGTGTTGCAGGGCTGTAGACCCTCAGGCTGAGCTTTCATCAAGAAGGTCAATGTGCAATGGAGATCATCAACAGAGGCTTCTTAGAAACCCTGGAATAGCCCTGCCCAGCCCTCCACCTCTTCCCAGCACTCAGATCAGTCTAGCGGTGGCAGGAACCACCTTTAGTGCTTTATGGGACTCTTTCAGTGCTTTAACAGCACTTCCCTTCCTCTCTGCACCAACAGGAGGAACAGAGGAAGGAGACTACAGTAGATCACCCCTGCTATCTGAATTTTCTAGCAGATGAGCCAATACAGCGTTGCCAAAGTTGGGCATTTTGGGGGTGTTGGTGCTGCTGGGGTGACCACCCCGGCTGGCCCCCGCTCCCCGCAGAGTTCACTGCCACAGGATTTCTGTGCTTCCTGTTCTGGCTGCTGTTTGCCCTTGGTGTGGTCGACAAATCCCCCAGGCCCAGAAAAGGCTGAATTTCACTTGTGTGTGCAGTGAGGAAAATATAGGATTTATAAATACCCATGCATATACAGGGGCTGTGGGTTGGGTTGGTCTGGATTAAAGGAGGTATTGAAAAATGAGGGAAGCCAGAAACTGCAGGCTTCTCATTTCTGTGATTTCTAATGGCTTTTCCTTTTGCATAAACACTGCATTGACTCCATACCCGAGAGCACTGCAGGCGTTTTCTCCCCTGCTCTGTACAAAATATAACCCCGACCTCTAAAATGGATATTTTTTATTAGGACATTTGGTTTCCCCAAGCTCAGGGAAGAACAATTGCCCTCTGTGGCAGCAAGTCCCCAGCAAGCTGCAGGGCAGCCGTGTCCTGAGCGAGGCAAATGGCAGCTCCTTTTCTGGGAGGAAAAGCAGCAAATTAAATCTCTGCACTTCAATTCAGTGCTACCTGCACTTTAGGACACTGTTACTGCAAGTTACAGTTCTTGTATAAAGAGTTGATTTGAAGACCCAGTTTCTAAACAATGGCTGCTGGGATTGTATTTTGGTCTCCTGAGTCGGGTACTTTTATTCCCAGGGGACCAAAAATATCAGATCCCTTCCTCTGCACACTGAGCTGGTGAAGCTCAGTGAACTGGAAAGCAGCAGGGCAGAGGGCAGTTTGCTTCTCCCAGTGCTCCTAAACTGCTTTTTCTGCCCCTGTGGTCACCCAGGGGTGCACACAGAGGAGGTGATGTGAGGACCAGGATATGTCCCACACAGGGAGCTGCGTTTCCCAGCTGGAGGCAGGACAAAACCCTGAGTGATGTCTCCACACTTGCTGCTGGGAAGGCGAGGGCTAATTTTTAGCTGTGGTGTTAAACATCAGCTCTCCTAAAATCAGTGATGTGACTGCAGGCTCCAGCCCTACCAAAGCCTCTCGGCGCCTGCCTGGGCTCCCCACGTGCCCACATGAAACAGCCCTTTGCAAGGTGGTCCAGCTGCGTGTCTCCCATAAAAAGCACACAGGGCACTCCTGCTTTTCTGCTGTGTTTCCCATGAGAGAAGGCACAGCAACATGGCCAGGGCTTGCAAATCCCCCCAGGTGCCCTGGGTCTTTCCCACCTCAAGCACCAGGGCAGAGCCACCCTAGAGATGCACCGCAAAGGCGCTCACACCCTCTCCTGGGGCACGTCCTGGCCTAAAGCAAAGGAAAAGCCTTGGTAAGTGATGCCAGGCTGAGCAGGGAGGGGGAAAGGCTTACAAAAATCGGTGTAGCAGAAAGGTGGTGGCTCCCCTCTTTCTCCCCCCCTTCCTTCCACATAATGCCCGACTGTGTGGAGAGCAGCTGAGCCCCAGCCAAGACCTCAGGCTCTGAAAAGGCAGCTTTTAGCCCGAGCTGTAAGAGCCCGGCCCGTGCAGAGCTGCAAACATGACGCTGAACTAACACTGCACTACAACCAAAGCATTTTAATGATTTAATATAATAAATGTCAGAAGGAGTGAATAATTCCCTGTAACCCTGAGGAGGCTGTAGGTGCCAGGGGGAGCCAAGTGGGTATATTGAGCTGCTTTAGCAATAGCCCTTTTACTCTCTGAAGGTAAATTTAAACCAGATGATGGATGCTGGGTGGTCGCCTCTGTGGGCAGAATGGTGAGCACTGTTCAGAAGTGCATCACTGAAACAATTTAGCCCCCAAATTTGAAAGGTAGTGGCTGCAGAGAAGGTACAAAGAAAAGAAAACCAAGTTTCCAGGTAGCTGTTCCCGCAGCTAGACATTAAGTCTGAAGAACTACAATCTGTTTACCTGCCGTTGGCATGCACTTTCCCACTTCAGCATGTGGGTAATTGTTCCAGAAGGCTCTTTAGTAGGCTGGGGGCAGTAACCCACGTGCCTCTGGAATTACGTACGGATGGCAGGGAGCAGTGATACCTGCACAAGCCTGGCCCTGCCCTAAGCCACTGCTGTGGGAGGCTCTGCAGAGCAGGCATTGCTGCTGGCCACTCTGTCAGCACATGTCTTAATCCACAGGGTTTGGCAATTTGCTCCTGAACACTCCCTGCTGCAGCCTGGCCTCGGTACCAGGCTGTTCCATACTCTGTGAATGGGTTAATGGCAGAAGCTCCCTCAGAACCCCCACAGGGAGACCCCAAGCTACATGGATGGGCACTGGTGAGCGTTTTGGTGCTGGTGGGTAACACTAACAGGGATGAAGCACGTGTCTCTGCAGCTGATACACAAGGACTCAAAGCTATACTCCTAATTTTACACAGAATGGATGATGAGACTCACCAGGAAAAAATTCACACACCCAGCCTGGTTCTTCCCTACTCTGTTGTCTTTGACAAACTGAGGGTGAAATGCTACTGAATGAAGCCAGCAAGGTTCAGTACTCATTTAACACTGTGTTGCATCAGTGTAAAAGAGTACCCAGGGTCAGGCCAATTTCCTTGATCCATTTCTACATTTATCCCAATCAGAATCAGTAGTTCTGTAAAAAAACAAACAAGCAAACAAACCCAAAACAAATCAAAACTTTTGCAGAGAGATTCCCAAAGGCTGCTTTTATATGAAGGGAAAAATAGCAAAGGCAGATGAAAGCTGAAATCACACCATTGCTTGGCAGCAGAGGAGTGAGACAGCTGCAGATTGCCATTATGGAAAAAGATGGAATAACTTTCTTACAGGATCTCTTTGGCTGTGCAGAGATATAAACTGTTCATTGGATGGAAAAGCTGGAGTGAAGCTTTTCAGCAAGACTAAGTAAACCACCCTGGAGCAGGCACGGGGGGGATACTGGTTGATAGAGCTGAGCTTCAATGTGCTGGAGCAAGAGTCTACCAGAATGGAGGGTTGGAGGGGACAGATACAGCCTTGGGAAAGGAGCCTCTCCTGCCCTGCCACGAGTGCTGTGGGGCGAGCTGGGGCTGAGCTCAGAGCCCTGTGCTGGCAGCAGCACCGGGGCTGCCACACGAGCAGAGCTGTGTGTGGAGTCTGTTCTGCAGTCAGGAATGGCCATAAAACATTCATTTTCCAAGCACAGAGCAGCAGCTAATGCTGTGAGTGACACTGGCAGTGGCTGTAAACCTGATTTTGGCAGAGCTCTGTTGATTTATGTTTGCTGGTGATCCAGCTCACACGTCTGGGATAAAGAACTGAGAACAAGGAGGGCAGGAGATTATCTTGCCCGTCTAGTCACCGAACAGAGCACATCTGTGGAGTGCAAAGCATCAGGTCCCCATGGGACTATCCAGAGAAGACACTGGGTAAATATTTGCTTGTATGGTAGATGTGTTTGTCTGCCACATAAAACAGTAGCTGTCGGCTCCATCCAAAGGTGGGAAAGCTGGAGCTGAAGTGATATGTGTTTAAAGTGAGTTGTACCATGGGTGCTAAAAGCTGTAAGGGGCACAGCCTTTTTAAAATACATATGTTGCACTGGGAAGGACAGAATTGGCAGGTGGACTCTTCTAAAAGGCTGCTTGGGTTGACTGCCTGCTGCTTCTCTCCCTGGGAGCTTGCTCTGACCTCTGAGGCCAGGACAGCTCACCACAGCCTGCCTTGGAGTGATGGCAGGACCAGACTTACCCATCTTCACACATCTGATCATTTATGTCCTCAACTGTTCTCCATTTCTAGCCCATTTAAGAGGAAGAGAGACTGTGTTTAATGGGAATGCTCCACTGCATACCTCTTGCAAGGTTTTCCCTGGATGTCTGTGGCTGATGCCCCCATCCTCACCACTTCTCCTCCAAGGCATCCCCCAGCACTGCCCATGGTCCCCAGATGCTCTCTCTCTGTGACTCCAGAATGTGTTTTCTGCTGTGCCTGGGGCTTCACAGCCTTCTCTGGCCACTGCTTTATCTCTGTCTCCGATATAAGGTTCAAGAACTTCTCATAACCAGCCAGGCTGGGTCCCCTTGGTTGGAGCAGTGTGCCCAGTGGCCACATCCCAAACATTGGCAAATGTGCCAAGGAGAGGCTCCTACCCAGGCAGCTCCCCTTCTCTCTCCTCTGATTTCCTCTTATCCAGCCAAATATTTTATCCCAGATTCAGAGATTGCTCTGATCCCAAACTGAGGGGGTTTAGGGGCTTTCAGTAGGGCAGGAGCTGGTGTTGTTCAGACGAGTGGTCTCACCTCTCTGAAGGCAAGTCAGCACCACAGAAGGTCTCCCCAGCTGACACCCCAGAGCTCTCCCCCCCTCCTTGCACCACCCAGTCCTTGCACACGTGTCCCAGCTGCCAGAGCAGGGCACCTTGTGCTTGGCCTCACCTCATCTCTCTCCAGCCGGTCAACACCCAACCTACTAAGTTAGCAGAGTTAAATGCTGGGTGCGTGGGAACGCCTTCTGGTTAATAGAGCAGAAACAATCAGCAAAACCACCGACTTCTTAGGTATCAGAGAAAAATGCAGCTCTTTTCACCCAACAGCCCTTGCAGAAGGCAACGAGCAGCTCACGTGGCAGCTCCTGGGCTGCACTCACAGCTCAGCAGCATCACTTCCCAACTCACCAAACAGCCATACAGCAACAAGCACTTTAGGTGGGAAAACAAATTAATACTCGATTAGAGCACTGCCACCATTGCCCAGGGCTGGAAGCCTTAGAAATGCGTGTTTCAGAGCTGTTTACATAACACAACACACATGCCCTGTGTGTGTTCGATGGCAGGTGAAGCAGTTATTCCATCATCCAGACTTTATATTTTTCAATACCAGCCCCAGTCTTAGAGCAGCTGAACTCCAAAGCTTTCCAATGGGAAAGCCTTTCCCTCATCAGGCTGGACACGGAGGGATCTCCGGGCTCCCTGCTTGGCACAGGGCTGGGCGAGGGGCCAGCTCTGGTGTCACAGTGCTGGGGCACTGCTGTCTTGTAGGTCCAACCCTTACCAAGCCAGCCTGCTGCGGGACGGCGTGCGGAGGTACCTGCAGCTGCCAGCAGACCAGACCGTGCTCATCCTGCACGCCAAGGTCGCACAGAAGTCGTACGGCAACGAAAAAAGGTGGGAGATTGTTCCAGCTCCTCCGACGACCACTTCCAAACCCAGCTGCCTAAAGCTCAACCCCAGCCTGGCTGGATTTCCCTGGTCCAAGCTGGAGAAGCATTCACTCATGACCTCACGATCCAAAGCCATCATTTAGCCTTCATGAACTGAATAAACTGAATAACACAAGGGAGATATTAGCCCCCACCTGCATCCATCCCAGTTAGACATTCCCAGGGGTTAGGTTCCTTCCATGAAGTGGTAAGGAAAGACAAAGTAAACTAAGCAAAGATACTATTCAAGTCTTAAGCCCCCAAGAATGAGAAGTTAATGTTTCAAGTGCCCTGTTAACTCTCATCTTAAAATCAGCAGGGACTGGGGCATTTCCATCAATGCCCATGGTCTCCAAAAACGCTGCTATTTTTGAAAATCCTTCCCACACTGCAAAAACACCTTGAGGTTCTGGCTTGAATCTCCAAAATTGCTACTCCTGGGCAGTGACATCAGATTGCAGCACTGCAATATAATTAATCCTCCATTAATCCTTGTGATATAAATACTCCTCCGTTATTATCGAGTGTGGAATAGCTATGAGGCGACAAGCTCAGCCTCTGAGGCATAACCACCCAGACCCCAGCCACCCCAGGAGACAGCTCTAGGATGGGCTGGCTATGCCTACAAAGTCCTCACCACATCCAGTCTTCTGCCAGGGGCTGCTGTTCCACAGGTAAAGATGTTATTTTGGGACTGAGTCTTCCAGCCAGGAGGGAGCCCTCTCATCACTGAGCCTTTGGGACAGCCTCTTTCCTCTGCTCCAGATCCTGTGCAAGGGATGAGCGTGACAATCAGATGCCAGGTCTGGAAAGGGAGAGAAAACCTGCTTAGAGCTCCCAGGTTAAAGTTGAAAGGTGCTGGTGCTGTTTTCCTTCACAGTGAGAGTCAGGGGCCCGTGCTGTGGATGATTTGTTTAAAGAAACACGTACCCAGGACTTTAGGGCTCCAAAATATCCAGCCCCCTGCACCAGGGTTCTCTCGGCTGGTGCTTTATCCAGCATCAATAGAGGATGAATTTGCACCATTCACCCAAGTGCAAAGACAGTGGAAACCCAAATAAAACACAGGAAAATAGGTTTCCAAACCCCTGGCTATAGTTTTATTTGCACTGGGCTCCAAAACTGGTTGTGAATACAAACTCTGTTTCCAACCCGCCAAAACTCCCACATGGCAGTCAGGCAGAGGCAGGGTCTGATCCCTCCTTGACTCTGGGGGGTGCAGAGGTCCCTGTCCTCCCGTCCTGGGGCCATCCTGTGGCTGCTGGGCTCATGGCCACCAGTGGCACCACCAGATGTGGCAGCTGCCCCAGGCTGGAGCCAGGCACTGGAGGCAGTGGGTGCAGGGCAGAGGCTGTGCCAGCTGCTGCAGCAGAGCCTGAAGCCTCCAACCAGCCCTGCCCACACCCCCAGCTGGGAGTCCCCAGCCCCTTGCTGAGCACCACGTACCTCTGGGGGCAGAGGGTTGCTCCCAGTGCCAGTGGGCCCCGGTGAAGGTCTCCACTCTCAGCACAGCCATCCCAACACCCCTGAGCACCTTTTCTGGGGGCTGAAGGACAGTGAGAAAATGCCCTCTTGCCTCTGCAGGTTTTTCTGCCCCCCACCTTGTGTTTACCTGAGCGGGCCAGGATGGAAGTTAAAACAGGAGCAGATAAAAGGTAAGTGCCAGGCAGGAGCCCTGGACTCTCCTCTCGCCCTTCCCATGCCATGGAGAGCTGCCCTCTGCCTCTGCAAAGGGAAGAGTGTCCCACTTTGTGTTATCTTTGCCCCCCCCCAAACTCCCTGTTCCCCCTCAAGGCTGAGCCTCCTGCAATCCAGACCCAGGGAGGGCTGAGCCTGGGTCACCTTCCATGCCAGGAAGAGCTGAGCCTGTGTGGGGTCTGGAGAGTCCTTCTCCTTGTCTCTTCCAGCCAGGGACCTGGGAGAGGCTGGATTTCGGGTGTGTGGGTACATGGGGCTGGACAGCATGGGCAGCAGCCTGATGGAGACCCAGAAGCTCAGCTTTGAGGAGCAGCCAGATGCAAAGGTAAAGCCTGTGGCTCTCTGGGGCTGGGGGGACCCTGTTCATGCAGGGGCTGGGCTGTCACCACCATCACCCCATGCCTTGGGATGTCACACGATCCCCATCCTCAGGGTGTTGCAGTCCTTCCTTCCAAACCACAGCTCCTCCCTCCTGCTCTGCCACTCTGTTGTGACATGTGCAGAAGTCCAGGCAGCTGGGCAGGCTCCCCACCTTCCAAATATCCCTATCTTTCTCTGGCACCATCTTTTCAGGCTGTCAGTTCTGTGGCAGTTTAGCTGCCAAAATCTGCCCAGCTCCCTCTGCCCTGCTCCCCTCTCCTGATGAGCAGCACTGCTGCTTGTTACAAAATGAAAGGCTGGTCCTTCATTTGTGGATAAACAGCTAAAAAAACCCAGTCGATCCCAAAGTTCAAAAGCTTCAGCAGAGCTCTGGCATCTTTTGATTGGAGGGGGAAAAAAGGAAAAAAAGCATTATTTGGGATCCCCGAAGAGCACAGGGTCTGAGCTAGGCCAGGAACCTCACAGAAAGAGCCTTTGTCCACAGTGCTTGCCTTGCTGCTAAGGCACAGCATATCAGCCAGGACGGGAGAAACCATAAACCCAGGGCGATTTCTCATGTTATGTGGGATAAATCACACGTGAACATTCATTTCCATAAGGAATTCTCTGATCCCAGTGTAAATAAAGCCTCCGCTGATCCCCAGCTCTTCATTCCACCTGTAATAACATCTCTGGTCGTTTCTCCCTTTGAATGAACCCGGGGCTCGTTGAAAGGGCACTATTATGTCCTTGTGGGGCGGTGAGGAGGGTGAGGAAGGCTGGTGGGGCGGGGCTGGGCTGGAGCTGCTGGCAGCCCCTCTCTGGCCCTGGCAGGGGTTCAGCTGTGCCAAGGCACTGTACATCTCGGACACGGACAAGCGCAAGCACTTCCGCCTGGTCCTGAGGCTCTTCTTCAGCAACGGGCAGGAGATTGGCACCTTCCACAGCAAGCTCATCAAGGTCATCTCCAAACCCTCACAGAAGAAGCAGTCACTGAAGAACACGGACCGTGCGTACAGGGCTGGCTCTGTGGGGAGGAAGGGGGGTGCCATCCCAGGGTGGGATGCTCTCTGAGTGCTCACAGCTTGGCTCTGGAGTGCTCCAGGCTGAACCCAAAGCCCATGGGAACCCTCAGTAGAGGATGTATCTGGGCACACTAATACCTCCTTTCCAAACAGTTCAGCCACCACAATGCGTAATGCCCTGATGCCAACGTGCTCCCAACATCGTGGCCTCGCCTTCCCTCACACACAGAAAAAGGGCAGCGGGGAGGGTGCTGGGTACCCCAGGAGCCAGGGCTTGTCCTCCCTTGCCTTGGCAGAAGCATCAGACCTGACAAGTACTCACTCAGCCACCTCTCCCCACAGTCTGCATCTCCTCGGGCTCCAAAGTCTCTCTCTTCAACCGCCTGCGCTCCCAGACCGTCAGCACCCGGTACCTGTCTGTGGAGGGGGGAGCCTTCATCGCCAGCGCCAGGCAGTGGGCAGCCTTCACCCTCCACCTGGGTGAGGACTCTGGGGGCCACTGATGCCAACCACGCCCAGGGCTGCCTGTCTCCAGCCCTGACTCTCCCCTTCTGCAAAGCCTGGGGGTAAAAGGGGTGGGAATTAGCTTGGGGATGTGGGAACCTGGCTCAGTCTCACCTCTGCCCGGTGCTCCTGCTGTGCCTCTGGAACCGATTCTATTTCCCGCTGGCACTGAGGGCAGCAAGAGCTGTACTGGTCTGGCAGTTCATAACTCCAAGCCAGTAACTTGCCTGGAAGAGGCCAGACCCCAGCAGCATCCCTGCCCGCACTGCCTCCAGCGGTGTCCCTGCGAGGTACCGCATCCCAGTGCCGCTCTCCTGGGGAGCACTGGTCTCTCCAAGCAGTGAGCACCTGCAGAGCAGAGAAAGCAGTAAGAAAGCACTGGGAGCACCGCCGGGCCTGTGCACAGCACGGCAGCCCGGGTTAACCTGCTCCCCGGCTGACCGGGGCACTGACTCTGCCTCTTTCCCGGCCAGCCGATGAGTGCTGCCCCCGGAGCGAGTTCCCCCTGCGGGAAGGGTATATCCGCTACGGCTCCGTGGTCCAGCTGGTCTGCACGGCCACCGGCGTCACACTGCCACCCCTGGTAAGCCTCCATCCCTGCGGCTGCCGGGCACACGGACCTGGCCGCTCCGTGGCTCCGAGGGACGGGTGCCACCGCCGGGATGCTGCCGCCCGCAGATCATCCGGAAGGTGATGAAGCAGTATGCCATGCTGGACGTGGACGAGCCCATCTCCCAGCTCCACAAGTGTGCCTTCCAGTTCCAAGGCAGCGACCGCATGTACCTGTGTCTCTCCACAGAGAAAGTTATCCAGTTCCAGGTATGGCACTGCAGGAGGGGTGAGGACCCACGGGGTGCTTTCCAAGCTTCTCTGTGTTGCTTCTGGCTGGGGAACTTGTCACTGGGAGAGTCTTGCATCCAAATTAGGGTCAGAATTGCTGCAAAGCCGTCTGCCTGCTTTGGTGGGGACATCATCACTGAGGTCTTTGCAAAGGCATCACCATCCCCATTTCCCAGTGAGCGAAAGCAGTCGCTTGCTGGAACCAAAACACCGGGGGCAGAAACCAGGCCTCCCAGTCCCCTGCTGTCCACACTGCAGTGTCTTTGGAGCTGTGACTCTCCGCAGGCATCTCCCTGCCCAAAGGAATCCAACCGGGAGCTGCTGAACGACGGCTCGTGCTGGACCATCATCAGCACGGAGACGGTGGAATACACCTTCAGCGAGAGCCTGGCCTGCGTCCGCGAGCCCGTCAGCCCCGTGCCCCTCATCGCTGCCCTGCAGGTGGGCACAGCCACACACTGCCCCCTCCTCTCTGTCACCTGCCTGTGTAGTGGCTCCTGCTCCTGAGCCCTTGCACCCATGCTTGGCATCTCCTGGTTTTGGGATGCTGTTGGACTACCCGGGAATGCTGCAGCGGGGTTGGGATGCGCAGGCAGAGCATCCTGTGGAAGAAGGAGTCTGGCTCATTCCACCACATAACACGCTGACACACACTCTGCCCACCACAGCTCACGGGCGGTGGGGACGTGGCCATGCTGGAGGTGCAGGGGGAGTATTTCCACACACACCTCAAGGTCTGGTTCGGAGATGTGGAAGCAGAGACGATGTACAGGTAACACAGCTGAGGGGGCCAGGGAGCAGGCAGGGAACAGCAGCTGGGTTTGGGCTGCACTGGGCAGCTCTGGGAGGGACACGTCTGCAGACCTTGGTAATGGGACACTTGCACTGCCCATCCTGTAGGACCAAGCACGAACACTGCTAGGAGAGGAGGGGACAAGTCTGGTGCCTGCTCTCTGCCCTGGCTGCAATCTGGGGACAGCAGTTGGGTGGGGGATGACAGGGACCTCAGGGAGCTGCAAACAACCAAGCAACCCTGATAGAGAGGAAGGAAAGCCTGGGGAGGAGAGAGGAAACTGGCTGGAGGCTTCACACTGAGGTCCAGGGTGGAGGAGAAGTGCTGGCTCGCTACCTGCTGCTCCTGCATGGGACCCTCCTTGATTAATGCACCTTTTCCTCTCCTGCACTGTTCCCAGGAGCCCCAAGTCCCTTGTGTGTGTTGTCCCTGATGTCTCTGCCTTTGGCAGTGACTGGAGGTGGCTGCGGTATCCCCTCACTGTCCCACTCCTGCTGATCAGGGATGATGGCCTCATCTACTCCAGCTCTTTCACATTCACCTACACCCCGGAGCAGAGCTGCATCCCAGGGCAGCAGGTCCTCTCAGATGTCCCCCAGGACTCAGACAAATTACTTGACAGCATCCATCAGGAGTTCACCAGGACTAACTTCCACCTCTTCATGCAGAGCTAGCAAGCTGGGTGGGCAGAGGCTTTGGGAACAGCCCTGAGCCCTCTTGGGGCACCCCGTCCAGGGGGTTGGGGAGAGGCCCTGAGCCCTGCCAGGGTGCCCCATCCTGGGCTTGGGGTGGCCCTGCCAAAGGGTCCTCCCCACTCATCAAACATCCACCATGTTCCTGTGATTTACTGACTTGTCTCTTTGCCACGGCAGCGTCTCGCCCTGCTGAGATCTCACATGAGAGCATCAATAAATCAGGCTTGAAGGACTCTTTACTGATGCAATTGCTTCTTTACTAACCTGCATGATTTACATCCACGCTGGCACAGAGCACCACAGCTCCCTCAGTGTCCTCAGTCCATATATTCAAAGGCCAGGAGGGACAGGGATACCGCATGAACACGACCTTAAGTGTTACTGATCCATACCAGGAATCCCTGCATCGCTGCTGTGCTTCTCATAATGAGGAGCTGCTTCCCAGCAGCCAAATACCCAGTACCAGATGTTTTGGTTTTTTTATTGGAGGCCCAAATGGGGTTATTTAAGAAGGAAAAGGGAAAAAGAGAAAAAAAAACCTGTGAAACCCAGCTCCTCCCTAGCTGGCGTGGCTCTACCGAGCTCTGTTGTTTTACACAGTTAGACAGACACAGAAATGCAGTGCTGGCATCAGCAGGAAACTGCTGATCTAGATGCCATAAAAAGCAGCCAGATTTCTTGGAGCCAGACCCAAATGTTATGCAGAGTGGGTCTTACAGCTTTATTTAGCCTTTAGATCTCTGTGGCATCCAGAGGCCCATGGTGTACCTGGAAACCCGCTGGTCTGGCAGTCCTGAGCTGGGGCTTGAAACAGCCCAACTGCCAGACCCACAGTGGTGCTCAACCCACTGACCTCAGGGCAGGGGAGTGAGGGAAGCACAGCACCCCATGACCCACAGCACCCCAGGAGGCTCACATGGGCATCCCTGGATGATCACCCGGCTTACCTGCATGTTTTGTGCGATCCAGCGCGTTTCAGATGCAGCAGTGCCACGAATGCAGTCCATCCTCAGGCTCCCCGTGTGCACCCCCTGCCACACTGTGTCTCCAGATGCTGAATTTGGGACTGCAGGGGATGGGTGGCCTCACACCACCCAGCAGGGAGGTGTTCAGTGATGCCTGGAGTCTTGGTCTCCTCCCTCTGCAGCTTGTGCGTGGTCCTGGCTCCCATAGGAATACAAGAGCTTGGGTCTCCAGGGTCCTAAGCCAGGGTTTCCCAAGGGACAGCACCTCCCTAAACTCCACCAGGACACAGGGTTTCTTCCCCAAAAAAGGAACCTCACAAAGGGCGGAAAAGCTGTTGGCAAACCGATCTCTGTGCATCTGGAGCTGCTGTGAAAAAGCTCTGGGACAATATCACAGCACATGCCAACAGCCAAGGGCTGGTGGAGGAGAGGGCTGGAGGACAGAGGAAGGGTAACCACGTGAAGATCCTCAGGGGTTTAAAAGCAAGCAAGTCCCTCGAGCAGGTGGCAAGTCCCAGTGTGCTCATTAGGAGTTGGGAGCAGTGGTACAAGACCATACTGCTCCTGGGAAATACTTGAGTATCTTATACAGGAGTGGGGGCAGCAGGGACTTCCCCTGTGTGGCTGCTGCTTGGGCCACCCCACTCTTACTCTTACCCCTGCACTCACCTCCCCAGCAAATCCACCCCAGCCCTAATGTAACTGAGGGTGAGATGCAAGAAAATACTTCAGTCAACCCAAACATTGGATCCCCCATATCTCCCCTGAAAGTGTTTCCTCCCCCATTTACTGAAAGAGCTGGAGGGCTGTGAAAGGATAGGGCCAAACCTTTTAGTTACTGCCTGCAGCCCACACAGGAGTGTCTGGAGCCCACGGGCTCCTCAGCCTGCTCCCTCCCTCAGAGGCCGGGGCATAATTCACATTTTATGAATGGAAAGCACCCTCAGCTATATTTAGCAGCAGCCTGGACCCGAAGGGCAGGAGGAGCACTGCCTGTTGACTTCAAGGGCTTGGAACAAGCCTGCCTTGTTATGTTTACAGCACAGTGCTTTGCTAGAGAGGCCAAGAAAGCACCGAGCGGCTCATTCTTGAAGGCTGATGGATTAAGCAAACGGCTGCAGTAATTCAAGCCACATGGGGAAAGGGGAGAGGCGGCGGCAGGAGGGCTGGAGGGGACTCGAGGGGCTCCTGCCTTCCCCCACCAGCCACGGGCTGCCTTAATCTGCCTTTCACAGCAGGTCCCACAGTGGAAACAGGAGCTTTGCAGCTCCTGGAGGAGGCACTTGCCTGCCACGAGGAACATATGCTCCACGTCGCGTGGCAGAGCTGGTAGCGTGGCAGAGCTGTTTATTTGCATAATCACTGATTAACACAAATGTCTCGGACAGGCGCCAGCCAGTTCCATGTTCTCGCTTGCGAGTCGGCAGCGCCTGTCCCTGATGGATCCTACCAGAGTCCAGCACGTGTTCAGGAAACATGGACCGTCCCCCTGGCGCTGGTGAGCTGGGCTGCCTGCAGAGCCCGTCTGGCAGCTCTTCTCTGTGCTCCTGAACTGTACACGGAGCTTTTCCCTGTCCCCAAGGCAGCCAGGAACACGGGTATAAAATCAAGCATGAAAAACCTTTGCATCACTCCAGGAGCTGGGGACTCAGGAAAAGCATCAAGTGCTTCAGGGGTGCTCAGGATAACCTCCATCATGTGCAGGCGTGGTGTTGCACAAGCATCCCCAGGTGATGGCGAGGCTCGAAGGCAATGGAGATCCCCTGCTCCCAGTATCCAGGGTGTAGCTGGGGCTTCCCGGCGCCCCATCACACCAAGGATCCACTTGAGGTCCCGGCAGTGAGCGTTACCTTCAAAAACATGCAGAAGAAAACAAAAGCTTGGCTTTTCCTCCAGGACACAACATCCCAGAGGAACATGAAGCCTGTCCCGGCTCTGTCTCCCTCCCTGCCCGGGCTGTGTGACACTGTGCTGCCCGTTTGGAAGAAGCTGCTGCCATCTAGTGAGCCCGGCCCGGCCCCAGCCCCGGCACACAGAGCACAGCCTCCAATCCACAGCCTCCAGCACCGACCCCCAGCCTGCTGAGCACTGCCACACTCATCACACCACCCGCATCCATCCTACAACAGCCCACGCTGCTCTGGGGAAGTGTCTGCATTCCCAGCCCCCCAGAACGGGGATGCTGCTCTGCCCAGCAGAGGGAAAGGTACAGAGAAAAAAAAACCTTTTTCTTGGAAACGTGGTGCCCCCGGGACTGAAGCCCAGGGCTGGTTCACTGCACAGACAGGGCTTGGCCAACAAGACTGAACCAAGGGGCCAATTACTGCATCATGAGCCATAAAATGTCCCCCCTACGAAGCCCCCACACTGGTCGAGCCCTGCCCACAGACCTCAATAGGGTCCCATTACCCTGAGCATCCCTTCAAGGGCACCAGTACACAGGGCTGAAGGTTTGGGCAGTGCCAGGAAACCCCGTGCTGACTTTATCCTTTTTCTGACAGAGCTATAAATTACCCAGCTGGGCATCAGGATGCAAAACTATGCTGGGGCCAAAATAAACCGAGTTGGGTTGCTGAGGAATTACAATTACCTGCTCAAGAGGCTTCCAGTGCATCAGGAACTCCTCAGGCATGAGGTCCTGCTAGCCAGACCTTAAAAGAAAGCCAAATAGCATTAAGGACAGAGTGAGCTGGAGACGCCCATGGGTGCCCATGTCACCAGCAGTGCCAGGAGCAGGTATTATTAGCCCCTGTCCTGAGATGGGCTGTTCAGGGGCAGAGACTGCCACGCTCCTGTGCCCACAGCCCTGGGCACTCAGCCCTGCCCACACAGCCAAAAAGCTTATGGAAAGTTAGGTTTCTTTTTTTCTGTGGGTTTTTTTCCTCAAAATGAGTCAAAAACAAGCTCATTCCTGGCAAGCTCTGGACTCCCTGCAGCTCAGGGAAGGACCAAGCCCAGGGGCCAGCAGTATCCCATCAGGCTGCATCACTGGACCACTGCCCCAAGGCTGAACCTGGGGCTTGGTGACCAGATCAGGGCTGCAGTCAGTACTGGACACGGCTCCCTCTGGCCAGCCCCCCACTGCAGCACTGCTGAGGGCTCTGAGGAGCTCAGCTTGGAGGGGGGGTAGGATGGAGGGAGCTGGCAATCTGCTTTCATCCTGCTCTCAAAAGAAACACATGGATAGTTTTCTCAGAATTCACTAGGGAGGGAAAGTAGCTTTTTAAACAGCTTAAATAAACAACTGGGCTTGAAAAGCCCAGGCCTGATTTCCATGCACTGCTGCAGTAATTAGGGTGCAAACCAGGCAGGCAGTTATGGGTCAGCACTGAGGAGGAAAGGACTGGGCATAAATCCCTCCCCATGAGCCCAGTGAGGTCTCAGTGTCAGTGGAGCTGCCCGTGGAGGAGCTGAGCAGTGCCCCTGGTGCTCGTCCACAGTTCCAGGGCTGTGGGGCTCAGCAGGATCCCAGCGTGGCTTTGCCCAGGGCACCGTGGGCAGCAGGCAGTGTCATGCAGTGCCATGCACAGAGTATGCCAGCACCCTGGCTGCAAGCACCCCCCTGCCCCATGTCCTGTTCAATCCAGCCTTCTACCCTGGCCAGTTTGGGCTGGGACAGCTTAGGGGTGAAGCCTGAACTCTCCCCTTGGTGCCCCTCACCTCTGCATCAGGCCTGGCCAGAGGCAGAAGAAAAGGCACTTCATCAAACCCTCTCCAGCGTATGGCTAAATAAACAGCAAAGCAGGATTGGTGCTGAGAGATGTGGTGAGATGTGCTCTTTGGTTTCTGCCTTGGGGTGAGATTTGTTCTTTGGTTTCTGCCCTGGGGGCACACCAAGAGCGTGACTCTGGGAGAGGAGCCTCCACTCCAGCCATGGCTCCCAGGAAAGCTCGAGATGCACTCAGGGTTTGTCCCCATGCCCCTGCCCAGTGTCACCAGCCCCTCTGGGCTGCCTTTGTGGGTGTGCATGGCCCCTGTCCCCTCGCACCCCACCGGGAGCCGACACGTGCGTGT